CTTAGAAAGAATGTTTTAAGAAGCTAATTTTTCTCTTGTGTTATAAATTGTTTAAAAAAACATGATCTTTAATATGATTTAGATTGTTTCAGCCTATATAAAAATCAGGTCACTCGGTGGTACAGAATAAACCCTGCTGGACTGTTTTATTTCTTTGTCATTTAGCAAAAATCTTTTAATTAAAATATTTATCCTTTGGACTTCGCTTTAAACTTTATTTATAGTTAAAATGACTAGAAAATGAAAAGCTGTCTTCAGCTGAAACACAATTCATGTAATTGATACTTTAAAAAATTGACAAGAATGCAAAATTTATGGAAGTCTAGCAATCGAAAAATCTTAATTTTCTTGTGCGAATACTGAAAATAACTGTAGAAGGAAAGAAGAAAATTAGGGAGAAAAGTAAGCAAAAATTTGCAGGGAAATTTGGCTGTCAAACATACCAAGATGTTTCAAAATGTTGGACGCTTTTAAATATACTTTCAGGATACTTCAAAGAATTTAGGTGTTGAAAGAGAAAACACTTGGACATGTACACCAGCAAATGTCATCAACTGAGCTTGTGTTAACAGAAAAGACAAAAACGATATCATTGCAGAATAAAGTGAAGAGAGACTGGTTTTAGACTATATGGTTGTATAAATTTAAATTACGTTATAGAACATCATATCGTATCATAAATTGAGAATCACACGATTTTCTCAGTCGAATTATTTGAAGATTCAGGAGTTTATCCAGTGATGTATGTGGATGTCACATAAAGATTTCTTTTTTCCTCCTGATGAAACAGCGGCTGAGCGGTAAAGTCGCTGAACACTTGTAGTTTGGTCCGAGGTTCGGAATCCTGTGAACGGGCTGGCTGCAGGGGCGTTTTCGTGGTTCTCCCCATGTGTAACAAGTATACGAGCCAGTTTCCTTTAGAAAGCCATCCACGAAGGCATCCCTCCCCTTAGGCAGATAGCCGTAGTGTGCTTTGTCATAATTAAATAAACCAAAACCTCTTGATGAAACCAATCTTTCCTTTCATCTCATACCTTCAAAATGCTTAGCCTCTAAAGACTGCTCTGACCAAATACTGATGAAATGGATTGAATTGGATTAAGTTACGGCAAAGCAGGGCTATCTGCCTAAAAGGAAGGATGCCTTTGTGAAGAACTTTCTAAGGGAAACCAGCTGGCATACATGGTACACATGAGAAAATCCACGAAAACGCTCATGCAACCAGCCCGTTTATCCGTATTCGAACCCCAGATGAACGACCAGTGTTCAGCAACTTTACCGCTCAGCCGTTTGTGGGCCTTTATGAAATGGAAGGCGATAACTTTATTTAAAATGATTGTATGCCTGAAGAAAAAGAGAAGAAAAAATAAATTTTTGCGTAAAATTTAGTATTTGTATTTTTTTTTAATTTAAAACCTTTTTAATCTTATATTTGATTCTTGCGATTTCAAAAATAAAATATTTGACTAAAATATGAATAACATTTTAACAAACCAAATGTAAGATAAAATTGTGTAAAGCAAAGTGTGACACAAGACTAGCCAAAAATGCAAAAATAAAAAAGCGGTAAATGGTAGATTAGCCCAATTCGAAACTCATTACCGACTCTTCAGGGGAAATTTGTAATGATTTTCGAATCCAGATGATTCCATATCGCGCTTTGTCGAAACAGACAATTGAAACTTTATACGAAACTCTTTTTCGAATATTCATTTAAAAAAAAAAAAAACATGGAGGGAACAAGAAGACATCGACAGGTCTGTTTAAAAAAAAATTTTTTTTCTTTTCCCTTGTATTGATTCTTGGTCATAGCAAGACCCTTTCAATATTTTATAGTCTTGTTCCCTTTTTATTTTAATTTAAAATTTTTGTAACTTAATTTTTTAGCTACATTCACAAAGTTTAAACTTTAAATGCTAGTAGGTCCTCCCTAAAAATCTTGTATTTTTGATTAATAGCAAATCGCTATTTATTTTATTTTGTACATTGGCATAACCAGGCTATTATGTATAGTTTTTTCTTACACCTTAAAGTGTTTTTTCAAGCAGACGCGTCAGGAAATGGAACAGAGAATTGGGACTAAAGTTTATGACTTTTTTCAGTCAATATTAAAAAAAAAAAAAAAAGAGTTTCGTATAAAGTTTCAATAGACTGTTTCGACGAAACGCGATATGGAATTAGCTGAATTCGAAAATCATTATAAATTTTCCCTAAAGAGTCAGTAATGAGATTCAACTTGGGCTAATCTACCATTTACCGCTTTTTTGTTTTTGTATTTTTGCTAGTCTTGTGTCACACTTTTATTCTATTGTTTAAAGTTTGCCTTACCTTAATCAACATATTACTTGCAATTAGTTTTGAATTTTATTTGTAAATATTCTAGTGATAATATTGTTTATTTAATGTTTACACTTTTCATTGCACTTTATTTTACTTATATTAAAATTTGTCACCGGAACCACAGTATCTATGCTACTTTTTAACGCAAGCACTGAGAATTTTCTTTTAACTTAAATATATATACAGGGTGATTCTAAATTGCTCTTACAAATTAAGAAGGGTGATAGTACCCATCCAGACGAGCAATAATTACCATAGAACATAGGGGGGTTGCATTCTACTCTGAGAGGCAGGAAAGTAGAAACACATCGAGGAAGAACAAAGAGACTATCAAGAAATAACCAGATGCAAATTTGCATTGAGAAGAAGCATCATTTTGCTCTTAATTGGTACCAGAATGTTTGGGCAAGTAGGTGATTGCCTGGTAGGCCCTTATATCATGCCAGACCATTTAATCGCTGCAACAATCTATATCTTCTTGGAACAAGTGCTTTCCAGTTTATTATTACAGGTTGTTCCACCCCCATCCAGAGAGATATGTAGTTTATGCACAATGGAGCCCTAGCACATTTTTCTGTTGCGGTCCATAACGTTTTGAATGCCACATATCTCGACCAATGGATCAGACATAGCGGACCTGTGGCTTGGCTTCCTCGCTCACCGGACCGCAACCCATTGGACATTTTCTTCTGGAGGGCACATGAAATATTTAGTATGAGACGCCTGTGGACTCAAATGAAGATATCGTGGCGAGAATCATTGTTGCAGCAGACCAAATTAGCGCGACACCAGGAATCTTCGAGAGGGCGCACCAGTTAATCCTTCGCCCATGTCAACTGTGCAACACTTTAAAAAAAATTCTGCACTATTTATTAATTTTCTACCCACAATTGTCCCTTCTATTGGCATTAATCATTTTGGTATTTTCTAATTATCTGCAACCCCACTGAAAAAGTCATGAACTTGTTACCGACTATGGAGAGGATTCGTGGACTTGTTGGGGGCTAATTTTTTTTTTTTTTTTGAAAATGGCTATTGCAAAAAATGCAAAAGCCAATTTCAAAATAATGCCACGCTACAAATTCTACACAAGAAAATTGAATAATTTTTTTTAAAAAAAAGCAAGAAACATCAGCGGTAAAACACTTTCCTACTTCCTTTTTTTTTTTTTAGAAAAAAAGCAATTGTTATAATCATGTGCACAGTTATCTGTTTGCCTGAAAAAACATTACAAAATTGCAAACACTTGGTTCTGTATACAACTTCTACATTATGTATCAATCAAAGCAGACATGCTATGTGGACACCTAGGTTGCTACCTAAGTACTTTCTGGCTAACACTATGAATGGCCACATACCTATTTTGGGAATATATTGCTTTGCCTCATGAATACTCTTTTGTGATTTTTCGAAAGGGTTGCTGATAATCAGAAAGTATGAAATAAAGTTTCACATAAAAGATGTTAACGAAACCTAATGTGTAAACCCTACTATTAAGGAAGCAGCAAAAATCAAATTTAACAGCAAACAAAAGAAAATAAGAAAGACAAAAATTTATTCGTTAAAAGAGAGATGCTTTGTAAGCAAATACATTAGCAGTAGGTCTAATAACAAATAAATGTAATTATAAATGTCCCAAGACAACAATATTACTCAACTGTAAATTTATTTAGTACCAATCACTTATTACTCAAATCAAACTTCAGTTATTTTCTATCTAATACAGAGGAATTAAATTGCATTTTTCATGCAACTTTTCAATAAACAGATACATTTTTTAAACATTTATTACGTTTAAATTCAAGAAATATCCAAAATCTTTATGCTTAGTAATATTCATATGCATTACTTAAATCCAAATTGCAAAGAAACTTTTTCTTCTTATTTCAGTTTTGTTACTTTAATAAGATTAAAATATACAAGTGGCAAAATATACCATCTGCTATCTGTAGATCTGCCTAAAGGAAGAGTTACTTTTATGAAAGACATTTTTATGGAAACTGCCTGCTCCTTATTTTTGATCAGAAACTGAATTTAGATGTATCTCATTAATGATAAATTTAACTGACCTTGTCATTTAAATCTCTTGAGGCTAAATTTACATTCCTTCAACATGCTAATACCATGCAATGAAACCAACACATACAGAGTTGATCATTATAGTAGTGTTCTGATAAAACATCAAAAGGCTGACAGTGCAATGAACAACTAGCCCAAATAAAAATGTCAAAATTTAGCAATTTTAATGGGACATGAAGTTAATATTCACTAGAAAAAATTAAATGCTTTCCGAAAGATAATGTAAATTAACATAAACCCTGAACATCTTAATCATTAAATACTACAAAACAATCTACGGCTTATTTAATAAACATGACTTTCACACACACGAATGTATTGGAAAAGATTACTACTTTCATGTTCAAAGTCAGAGCTTTCATTTGTAAAAGTTAATCCTTACCTTTTACTCAGGACAATAAAAAAAACTAACTTTACGAAAAATCGTTGATTAAAAATAGTTAACATACCGTACATTTCATATGAGTGTGTGTATACGGATATACACACAACAAATTAACATTCTGAAGCACAATGTAAGAAATGACTTCAAAAACAAAATCAAAAACACTGTTATGTTATTGACTAATATGGTATCTCACCATGACTCATCATCTGACATATCAATATCGCTGATTCTAAGGATTTCCAGATCGTCACAATATTCATCTCTCCCAGACTTCCGAAAATTTTCAACACTGGAACTGTTAGGAACACTCACTTTATCATCTGAATTTTTCTTTGCATATCTAGAAGGATATTTAACGACTGTTTTGATTTCTTTCAATGGAGAAACTGATCTCTTTCTGGATAAGTTTTGCTTGTTTTTCAGCTGCAAATTCTGCAATTCTAATTTACGAACTAAATCTTGAAGTTCTTTAACTTCTAATGCACTAACAGAAGGTTTAAAATCTTCCATAACAAGGCTCATTTTTGAACACTATTAAGAAAAGTAACAATACAGAATTCACACCGTACAATAAAATTAATATAAATCATTTAGGTTCCAAACAAATAAATAAACAAAGCTACAGTTGTGAGTTGGCTAATATGGCATTTATGACAAATCCCTCCCAACCCATCAACCATTTGCGGATTCGTACAGCGCATAACACTAGCAAAATTTCGAGTAACCGTTAGTTATCAAAGAACTGAGAGGTGGCGCTGCGGTAACCACAGCTACAGTATACGGGAGAGTCAAATAATTTGAATTGGAAGAGGCGATCGTATTTTATTCTCGGGTGTCAAGATGTAGAAACATCTTTTTACTCGACTTCTGATAAGAATCTGGGAGCAGGAGAAAGAGTAGTGTGGGAGGCGGAAAAAGTGATTCAGGTCCGCGCTAGCGGCGGCGAAGAAGTGTTACTGTGGGTTTGTATTGAATAAAAGAAGTTGACCGCTAATCGTTTAATATACTCTTGAAGAAGTTGAATTTGACGGTCTCTCTGAATGTAAATGTTTGGAATATACCAAGGAGCATTGATAATTTCTCGTAGAATTTTATTTTTCAGAATTTGTAATTGTTTAATATTGGTTTTAGCTGCATGTCCCCAGATCGGAGCTGCATAAAGGAGGGCTGGACGAAGTATGAAGCGATATAAAATTAATTTGTTTGTAGTAGATAAGTTGCTTTTTCTACCAAGAAGAGGTCGCATAGTAGCAGTGGTGATTTTAAATTTTTGTACTACGGAGCGGAAATGGGTTTTCTTCGTCTATTTCTTCTTCAAATATTTTAGGGGCGGATAGTATTTCATGTTTGTTTCCCTTACGGAAAACTATTGCCTTGGTTTTATCAGTGTTAATTTTAATCCTCCAAAGGGTGCGCCATTTTTCCAGTTTTATGACATAGTTTTGGAGTTGGTTTTTTTCTTATAGAGATACAGTGGTTGGACAAAAATATGGAAACACCTTGTGAAATGCATGTTTGAAAAGAAAGATTGATTTTAATGAAATATGTAGGTGGCGCTGGCGTTTTTGACTACTGACACCACCTATACAACTTCGTAAATGTACTAAACAGTTCAGTTGTTGTCGGAGTACTGTTATGTGAGGTTGTCATTGCATTATGTCAGACTTAACAGACTTCAAACGTAGGCAAATTGTTGGAGCACGTATGGTAGGTGCTTTCGTAAGCAAGGTAGCCGAGGTGTTTAGTGTTTCAAGAGGTACTGTATCGAAGATTTTTTCCGCATATTTGAAAAGCGGAAAAACATCATCTGCTAAATCACAGCGCGGACGAAAGTGTGTCCTGAGTGATCGTGACAGACGATCATTAAGGGCAATTGTGACGAAAAATAAGAAGACCACAGCTGCAGAAGTTACTGCTGAAATGAATGTTGTGTTACCGAACCCTGTGAGTACCAAAACAATTAGAAGGGAGCTTCATAAACAGGGACTTGCTGGCCGTGCTGCAATTGAGAAGCCACTCATCAGTGATGCTAATGCCCGTAACAGGAAAAGGTGGTGTTTAAGTCATAAAGCCTGGACTATAGAACAGTGGAAGCGAGTAATATGGTCTGACGAGTCTTCTTTCACATTGTTTCCCACTTCTGGCCGAGTTTACGTCTGGAGAACGCCTTCTCAAGCCTATAATACAGACTGCTTGTTGCCAAGAGTGAAACATGGAGGGGGTTCTGTTATGGTTCGGGTAGCCATATCGGGGTTCTCTGCTAGCCCCATGATAACTGTGTCAGGGCACATGACTGCCAAGACTTATGTGAACATTTTGGCCGATCAAGTTCATCCCATGGTAGAAACTTTGTTCCCCGATGGTGATGGTGTCTTCCAAGACGACAAAGCCCCTGTTCACACAGCTCACATTGTCCAGGACTGGTTTTCTGAGCACGAGGATGAGTTGTCCCATCTCCCCTGGCCACCACAGTCACCAGACCTGAATATTATCGAACCTTTGTGGTCTACATTGGAACGGAAAGTGCGTTCTCATTATCCACCGCCAATATCGTTATCTGAACTTGCCACCGTTTTGCAGGAAGAATGGTATAATATTCCCTTGGCAAACATACAAGAACTCTATTTATTCATTCCGAGAAGACTGCAAGCTGTTTTGGATGCCAACGGGTTTCCTACACCATATTAAGCAAAGAAACATGTTTTTTCAAAGGTGCTTCCATATTTTTGTCCAACCCCTGTAACTGTGCAGGCTTTAGTAAGTATGGCGGTGTCATCGGCAAAGAGTGCAAGAAGGATCTTTAAGGATGTCTTGTGTATTAATATAAAAAAGATACGGCGAAATTGCCGACCCGTGGGGAACACCGGCTTTGATTACTCTGGTGGTTGAGTGAGCAGTACCGATTTTGATTCTGAATGTTCTGTTGCTAAGAAAAGAGGCTATTAAGCGAATAAAATGATCTGGAAACTTGAGAGTGATTAGTTTGTAAATAAGGCCTCGATGCCATGCCCTGTCAAAAGCTTTCACGATATCGAGGAATATGGCACCGGTCGGAATCTTGCAGTTGTAGCCTTCAGTGATAATGTTGTTAACTCTAAGAAGTTGGTGGCAAGTGCTATGATAAATACGAAAACCGAATTGTTCTTCTGGGAGAAAATTCATGGAAGGGTGAATTTTTTGGATGTGGAAAAGTAGGATTTTCTCAGTAACTTTAGACAGATGGCGAAGTAAACTGATAGGGCGATAGTTCTGTGGGAAGGTTGGAATTTGTATCGGATTAGCAAAAACAATTATTATAGCTTGCTTCCATGAGTTAGGAAAATGAGCGAATTTGATAATGTTGTTGATTATCTAAGTTAGGCAGGTAAGAGCGTTGATCGAAGATGTTTCAGTGCTTTGGTCGAGATGCCATCATGCCTTGGGGCTTTCTTCGTTTATAAGGAGCTGATGGTGTTGGCAACGATTGTTGGGGTAGTTAGGAAAGTGAAGTTGTACGGAGCAGGCGTATTAAGGAAGTTATTGACCACCTGGTTGACCCGTTCAATATGGTTATTGTCGTACGGAGTAGGATTAAGAGTGAATGTATCTTCCATATAGTCCGCAAAAGATTTATCTTTATCTTCTTCTGTATATGAAATTCCACTAGGTCCATGGATAGGTGGAATAGGTTTATAAGGTTTCTTGAATTTGCGGGAAATGTCAAATAGGGAATTATCCTCTATAGCAAGGTTATTTAGGAAATTGGTCCATTTTTGGTTTTTAAGTTCTTGATTCTGCTGTTGATTTCTTTTTGCATAGAGTTTAGTTCGTGTTTGAGTTGTGGATCCCTGGTGGTTTGCCATCTTTTACGGATCCGGTTTTTCTCTTTAATACTATTTCTTATATCGGCAGGCAGAGGGGAGAAACGCTTGTTCACATAAAAAGTATTGGTGGCTTCCTTTAAAGCAGAATTGATGCAGTTGGTAAATTTTGAGACTTCGTGTTCTAAATCTTCTTTGTTGTTGATGCATGGGTTTCCTTGTATGGAGTTATTCAGAATTTCGGAGTATTTGATTCAATTTGTAACTCCTATACTTCTGTCAAGTGAGGGGAGGTATTTATAAATGGGGATATCAAATACAATGGTGTTGTGGTTGGAAGAGAGGGCTGGAATTACAGAGATATTGCATCTGTTAATAATGTTATTTGAGATGAAGAAGTCAATTGTGGTGGCACTATTGTACAGTCGGTCACAAAAGTATTCGAACACCGGTACCCTATCAGAAAATGACAAGATGGCGTTTTTTTCTCTCTTTCCTTCGTGTTATTCCATCCTAGGTGTTTCTTCTTTCCCCATCTTGGAGAACGGCCATGACCGCTCACCACGCCTCTTACTCTGTTTGAATGGGACGCCATTTTGAGAAAAGCGAACGACCCCATCTTGGAAGAACAAGAAATGACCGCTTACCCCGCCTCTCACTCTATTTAAATGGGGACGCTATTTTGGGAAAAAGCGGACGACCCTGTCTTGGAAGAACGGGAAATGACCGCTTACCACGCCTCTCACTCTCTCTCTCTCTTTGAAACGGGAAGTCATTTTGGGGGACTTTGGAATCTTGCACCCGGACCCTCTGATCTTGGAGAATTGGGAAATGAACGCTCTACACGATCTCTCTCTCTTTTTGAATTTAGAAGGTCTCTTTTTGAATTTTTCGGACCTTCTAACCTTGGAGAATGGAAATGAACATTCTATGTACCCTCTCTCTCTCTCTTTAAATTGGGTCACCATTTTGAGACTCCCTAACCTTGGAAAACTGGAAATGAACACTCTACACGATCTCTCTCTCTCTTTGAAATGGGTCGGCATTTTGAGACTCCCTAACTTTGGAAAAAATTAAAAATGAACGCTTTACACGATCTCTCTTTCTCTTTGAAATGGGTCGCCATTTTGAGACTCCCTAACTTTGGAAAAAATTGAAAATGAACGCTCTACACAATTTCTCTTTGAAATGGGTCATCATTTTACGACTCCTCCCCCCAAACTTGTTGAAAAAACTGAAATGAACGCTCTACACAAGCTCTCTTTTGAAATGGGTCATCATTTTGCCACTCCTCCCCCCCCCAAACTTGGAAAAAAACTGAAATGAAAGCTCTACACAATCTCTCTTTTGAAATGGGTAAGCCATTTTAGGATCCTCCCCCTTCTAACCTAGGAGAATGGAAATGAACGGTCTACACCCTCTTTTCTTGAAATGAGTAGCCATTGTGAGATTCTCCCATCTTGGAAAACTGAAAATGAACGCTCTACACCCTCTCTCTTTAAATTGGGTAGTCATTTTGGGATTCTCCCATCTTGAAAAATGAACGCTCTACATCTTCTCTCTCTCTGAATTGAGAAGCCACCAAGATTGGTATGTATATAATATTTTTATTGTTATTATGACCCTCTTACAATGTGTTACAAAATTTTTTTACAACATTTCAGTTTATTTCAGAAACGCAATCCCATAACAGTTCAATTTCATCCGATGATAATTGATCTAAACAATTTTTGACCCACCCATCCGTATTATTTTCTTCTTCTTCAGGATTCATCAAACTTTGTAAGTCCATATAATCCTTCCATACGGGAAGGGCTGGATCCTCCCCAGATTGTCTTGAAACTCTTGGAGTCTCTTTGGGATGAATGGGGGGATCCACGATGTCTGTACCCGGCTG